GTAATAAATCTTGTGACTTTACTTCCTTTGTGTGGGAGTACTGAAACTGCACCTTGATCAAAATGACCCCGGGGTTTTCACTTCCCCAAAGTGGGAGCTCGGATGCTGAGGGAGCTCCCTGCTCACCCTGTGTGGGTAGCTTGTGCCTCTTTATCCAGCAGATCAGAATCTGCATATTCTTAATTAAATACACCAGCTGTGGGCCCCTCAACACACGAAGGGTATCATTTTCCCTCAGCTAATAAATGGTGCTGGTGTCAAATGTTTCCACATTCTTGCAGATGGTAAAAAATGAAGCAGGGGAGACTGCAGCAGCTGGATTGCAAAGGATTTCAAAAACCATGCTGAGAAATATGGATTCATTCTGAGACTCCCTCCCTCTCCCAGGATCCCCTAGAAGATCCTGTGAAGTTCATTTAGATAGATCACTATGGCAACCCCAGTGTAGAGAATGGACTGAGAAAGCCAAACTGGAGGCCAAGGGGCCAGCTAGGAAGCTTTCCTAGAACTGTATCTGAGAGACTGGTAGTTTGAGCCAGGGTGGATGCAGAACAAGGGACGGAACTGGTGGATGTGAGTGTTGGGTGTGGGGGTTATGGGAGAGGGACGAATCGAGGATAACGGCCCATGTTTGGTTAGGGCAACAGGGAGGTTCCATTTACAAACACAGAGAACAAGGGAAGAAGGACAGATTTAAGGAGGAAAGACTGTAATTTTAGCAGGTGGGATATCCAACGTATGTGTCTGAGATTTAGGAGGGAGATCCTGGATCGAGATAAAAAATGTGGAAGTTGTCAGCCCATGGACGGAAATTCATGCTTTTGAGAGTGTCAGGACAGAAGGAATCCTTGGGCATAACTTTGAGAAAAACCAACATCTAAGAGATGGGCAGAGGTAGAGGAGCCTGAAAAAGAAACTGGGGTCTGGGCGGAGAGGTGGAGGGAAAGCCCAGAGAGTGCAGTGAGAGAAGTAGGGGCAGAGAATGCTTCGAGAAGGAGGGTGTGGCCAACAAGGTCAAATGTTAGGGAGACATGAGTAACAGAAGGACTAGGCAGGGTCCGTTGACTTTAGTGACACAAAAGGTGTGACTGACCAGCTGAGGGTAGTTTAGGTGGAGCAGTGGAGGCCAGAGCTAACTTAAGAGGTGAGCAAGTGGTGAGCAGAGATATTTGGCTCTAAAGAGGAGGAGAGGTGATGCCAACTAGCTGTGTGGGCACGTAGAACTGGGGATAACTATATATCCACAGCTATTTCCTGGAGAGACGTGAGTCTATTTAAGTGCTGAAGTGAAGGAGGAGGTACAGACGGAGAAGCTGAACATAGAGGAGAGAGGGGAGGAAAGGAAAAGAGTATGCTTCGAGGAAATGGGATCCAAGACTGGTGGACGAAGATAGCTGCCTTGACAGAAGAAAGGACACGTCTTCTCCTGACCCAGATAGGAAGAAGCAGAGATGAGAAGCAAGGTGAGTTTATACATGTGGCGTTGGGAATGTTCCTGCCTGGTGTCCTGCTTTTTCAGGGAAGCAGAAAATAAGGTGTCTTTTGCTCACAGTGGGGGCAGAGATGGTGGGGTAAAAGGTTTAAGGAGAGAACAGAAGGCTTCAGTTGGAGTTTGGGGAGAACGAGGAAAGAAGTTGGCAAAGGAAACCACAGAGGAAACGCTTGGAGGATTGAGAACCAGGGGTCGCTGGAGACCATGGATCTAGATTCACAGCGAATCCTTCAGCTGGTGGGACTTTTCTCTGTAGTAATCAGCTGCCAGGGTGTGGGCGTAGGGAGGAGGGACAGTTGGATTCTATTCTTAGCATCCTTAAAGTCTGAGGAGCTTTTTGCGCCTGGAGAGGAACACTAACCACCCTCTGTGCTTTATTTATTCTTTAATCTATTTACTTCATACCTACTTAAGCAAAAATTGTTTAAATATTTAAATATTATTTATATAACCAAGTCAAAATCTACACATTTTACAAATCAAATTATTTAAACATTGATTGCAAACTTAAATCCTCCTAGTATTTCAATAGAATCACAAGTATAACACGTCAGCTTCTCTAAAAGCATCAAACATTTTGGTAAAGTACACACATCTTACAAGATTATACAATTTATTACACTTACACTTAAACCCACTATAAAACTGGGTTTGTAGACCCAAGAGATGGACATTATCTCAGTTCAGACCAATTTTTGAATTTGGATAGCTAAAAGAAGAACATTATCTCAGTTCAGATGACGTTTTGGATTATTAATCGATAAATTCTTGGTTGGGACCTGGGAACTGGTTTACTTGCTAAGATGAGAACCTGAGCCAGTGTTTATCTTGTATATCACGGGAAATTTTCAAGCCCACACCTTTTCCATGCATTTATTGTATTGTAACTGGATGCCTTTTTTTTTTTATTTAAAGATTTTATTTATTTATTTTTTTCCCCCCAAAGCCCCAGTAGATAGTTGTATGTCATAGCTGCACATCCTTCTAGTTGCTGTACGTGGGACACGGCCTCAGCATGGCCGGAGATGTGGTGCGTCGGTGCGCGCCGGGGATCCTAACCCGGGCCGCCATCAGTGGAGCACGTGCACTTAACCGCTAAGCCACGGGCCGGCCCAGGGTGCCTTTTTTTTAAATGATGTCATCTTTAAGGGTGGGACTATGACGTCCCAAAGATGTCCATGACCAAATCCCCGGAAGCTCTGAGTATGTTTCATGGCAAAAGGGCCTTTTTCAAATGTAATTAAGGTTATTAAAATAGGGAGACCATCCTTGATTATCTGGGTGGCCCAATCTAATCACATGAGCCCTTAAAATCAGAGAACCCTCCAGTGAGGTCAGAGACATGTGGCAGAAGGGTAGGTCTGAAAGATTCAAAGTGTCAGAAGGACCTGGCTTAGAGAAAGAGGAGAACGAGGACCTTAGTCCTACAACCATAAGGAACCGAATTCTGAGTGAGCTTGGAAGTGGATCCTTCCACTTCAGTAAGGAAGGCAGCCCTGCCCACATCTTGCCTTTGACCTTGTGAAACCCCAAGCAGAGAATCCAGTCACACTCTGCTGGACTTCTGACTTACAGAAACTGAGAGAATAAACAACTGTTGTGTTAAGCCACTAAGTTTGTGTAATTTGTTACACAGCAATAGAAAACCAATACAATAACTTTACTGATATTATTTACAAATTTATCTAGCTTATTTGCATTTTAAAAAGCTTCTAGTTGTTTTCCCCAATATCCAATCTCCTCTTCTTCCTTATTACAAAACTGCTGACTTTTGGCTGGGCATGGCTGCCTGGAATAAAGACTCTATTTCCTAGCCTGTCTCCCTGGCCTGGTGTGGCTAGGCATGACTAAATTCTAGCCAACTAAATGCAATCAGAAACGTCAGGTGCACCTTTCAGAAAGCGTCTTTAAAGGAGTGTGCCTTTTCTTCCTTCCTCCTTCCTGGGGGCTATAAGGCTGATGTTATGGCTGGAGCTCAAGGAGCCATCTTGCGCCAGGAGGTGACATGCTAAATGATGGGCTGTGTTGATCATAAAACTGCCATCCATCCCTGGACTCTTTATTTGCAGATTTTTCTATGTGAGGCAGAAATAATCTTCTGTCTTGTTTAAGCCATTATTATTTTGGGTTTCACTGTTATTGTAATCTCATTATAATTAGTAGGGTAATATAGAGGCTCCCTTTCCCAAGAGATGAAGGATCAAGTTTGAACAGTGAGCAGTTATCTTTTGGATGTTTGACCAATTCCTCATCTTGTAACAAACACACTGTTGGACTTTTTTTCTTCCTAGTTGTAATATATGACCAGATGGTGCCAATCAGTCTCTTTCACTCCTGGTACAGTTCCAACTTTCTCTGGAATTACTCACAGCTTACCGTATCCACCCCTCCCTACTTATATAGATAAAAATAAATGTACCTTATGAATAGATAAAATACTATATACTCTTCTACTTATCACAATTAACTAAAAATATCCTATTCATTCTTCTTCACACAGTGTATTGGTTACCTTTTGCACATTTTATAGTAACTTTTTGCTTCTTGAATATTACTACAGAGTCATGGATTTTAAAAATTCACCTTGTTCCAATTAGCAGTATTATTTTCCTTTTGATTATCAAATTGTCACAGAATGTCAACAGAGAGCCTTTTAAAATTGTTTTTTTTTTTTTGCCTTTTCAGTTCTACCCTATACATTTACAAAAGTATCCTTCCTTTTGGTCATCAATATGTTCCAGGCCTAGAGTTATTTAAGACACAGAGCTATTCTCCAAGGAACTCTGAGTCCCTTTAAAGGTGAATAATATTTGAGGCAAAGATCCAGGTGCTAAGAATGCATATCAGATTTTTCCTGATGTTGTTTCTAAGTTTGAAAAAGTTGTTTCTTTTGAAAACCACAAATTCACATTGGTATTTCCTATTTAACTCAAGCATTACCAAATCCTTTTTTTATTTGACTCTAATATACAGTTTTAGATTTATTTTCTCTACAACATACCTGCTTATATTCTATAACTCCTGATCCAAATTGTAACAGCATCTTCTCTCTTTAAAGATCCTAGAGTGTCTCATCGACCATCCTTCTCTAATTACTTTATTGATAGATTCATCCATGCTGGGCCAATGGGACAGCGAGATAAGACAGAGAATTTATAATACTGGAAGGAGAGTAGGTGAAGGGATGAATCGTGGAATCCAAGGTAATGAGACTTTTAAGAAGGAGGATAAGACAGCACAAATCAGGAGAAAGAAGAGAGGTTATGGGATACTCTGGAAAAGGTACAATAAAGGTAACCGAGAGAGCTGGGAGGAAGGAGGTGGCAGTCAGAGCGTGGAGTGATGGAAGTTGAGACTACAGAGGTGGAGCAGTTCTAGGAGGTGGCCATGGTCATTGATATGTTTCAAGCCTGGATATCTACACTTGCCCCCATATGACCTTCTACCCCCACCTCCAGCTGCCCAAGGAAGCTCTGCACACCTGACGTGACCCAGGAGGCAGCCACCAGCTCTGTGGCAGAGCAAACATACACACTCCATGTCTCAGGTGGGGAGGTGAGGGCCAGAGTCCATCTGGGACCTGGCACAGATGGACGCCTGGGTTTGCTGCTTGCTGGCTGCCCTAATGTACATAAAATATGAGTACCATGTGCAGGCTGGGCGCATGCGCCCTTGATGCCCTACCAGCCACAGGCACCGGGCTGCTCCATGGCCCTCCCCACACTTCTGCTGGTGGCTGAGCCTCCCGCCCTAGCCCATGAGGCGCTGGCTCAGCTTCTGACTGTGCTGACTGAGATCTGTGATGCTGGCACTCCTCACAGGAAGGAGCCTGCAGGGTACTCTCAGGCTGGTCCATCTGGGCCCCTGTGGGGGCCTGTCAGGCTCACCTGTGCCACCTGTCCCGAAATAGCACTGAGCAGGAAGCTGGGGGCAGGGGGGTGGGACAGGAGCAGAGTCTGCAAAGTAGCACAGGCCTCCCTACCTGTCAAGTGCTGTCCTGACTAGGGCTGCAGGCACAGAGATGCAGTGGGAGGCTGGGAGGGCAATGGGGAGGGGAAGAGGGGCCAGGTCCTGAGACACCACAGCTCTGCTCTTCACCTTGGGTGTTCGGCACAGGGTCCCATGCAAGGAGGTGGAACACAGACAGCCAGAGGCAGCCTCTCTCCTGCCCCAAAGATGCTGCTTCTGGGTAGAAGAGGGCAGAGGGCAGAGGGCAGGGGCTAGATTCCCATCCTTGAAAGGCTTGAGCCCTCAGAGTGGGAAAATGAGGAAGCCAGAAAAACTTGAATATTTCCAGCCACCCAGCAGGTTCCCCCGACGCAGGCGCAGGGACACCCGGTCCCCGGGGTCCAGGGGCAGTAGCACAGAGCTGGTGGCTGCCTCTCGGGTCACGTCAGGGTCGTTGGCAAAGGCTGAGATGACAGGCCATGTGTTCAGCATCAGGCTCACCTGGGGAGGGGAGCCTAGTTAGCACCTCTCCCCAGCCCTTCTCCCAGGACTGCCACTTTCCCCAGGGCTCCCTCTCTTCTCTCCAGCCCCAGAGCGACACTCTGGAACCTGGGAACCTGGGGTTCAGTGCACTCCTCTGGAAGGGCTGAGGGGTGGCCAGTGTTGGACTCTGCCCCTCCTCCACACCCTCTGCTAGGCAGGCCCTTTCCTCCCAACACAGGAGTCCCTTGCTCCTGGCCCCCCAGGACACAGGTCAATAGAGGGTCTGCCCAGGGGTCAGCTGGGCTCCACTTATTCCCCCTCCCTCCCCTCTCTTCCCGTCCCAAGCCAGGGAGCCAGGGATGGGGCCCAGCACGCAGGTCACCTGGACGGTTTGGCGGTTGTACACCTTCACCACATGGAATCGGAAGCTGTAGACGCCTCGGACAGGGGCCACGAAGGAGCCCGAGGCCCGGTCAAAGCCACCGCCCTCGTTTACTAGGACCTGCAGGAAGCAGACCCTGCTGAGTGGGGCTCGTGGGGGCTCGGGGATGCCTGGGGCTCAGGGAAACCACTGGGTTGGGGGAAGGGGCAGCGAGTAAGAAAAGAAGGGGTGGCAAGTAGACTCGAACAGGAGGGATGCACGGATTCAAAAGGAGGAATGCACAGATTCAAAAGAAACGGTGAGAAAGAGCAAGGAGGGGTGTGGGCAGGATGTAGGGAAAGGAGGCAAGCAGTGGGGTTGAGAGGCAACTGGCCACAGTGGGGGGCTGTTTCCATAACAGCAAAGTGGGCTTGAACAGTTGGGTCCAGGTCCTTGCAGGTAGGGGATTACCTGGTCGAAGTAGATGGCCCCACTGGTGCCGTTGCTGATCTCGCCTGCTGGCTCATGGTGGTGGCTTCGGACTGCAGCAAATGCCACTCTTCCGGGGGGCGCCTCTCCCAGGGCTGCTCCCCCAGCCCCCCCTGCGGCAGCTCTGCTGGGTTCACAGACCACCAGGCACTCGCCCTCCAAGAGGACAGGCTCTGCCCCCTCCTGGGCCCACCCGGCTCCCAAGGCCAGAAGCACTAGGGCCAAGGGCAGCCCGGGGCTGAAGGAGGGACCTGGCGGCCAGTGCTGCTTTGCTCCCAGCATGGCTGAGTGGCTCTGTGACCTGCAAGTCCTCCTCTTTCTGCTCCTTTCGGTTTCCCCTCCTCTTCCCCAGACTCGCACCATCCCTCACCCCGCTCCTCAGCCCTCTCTGGGACTCAGTGTCACCTGGTCCTGTGGCATCTCCCTCTCCATACCTCTCTGTGCCCCACGACTCTGTCCTGCCTCTCACTCCTGCTGTCACTGCAGTTCCCTCCTCCTTGGCAGGGCACAAAATGACAGCAGTTGGGCTCTGGGAGGGAGAGAAGGGATGAAGCAGCCAGAGAGGAGGGCTACAGCCAGAACCCAGGGCAGCCCCTCCAGAGAGCACTGAAGGCGGGAACTGGGACGACAGAGAACATGGGTGTGCGTGTGAGAGTGTGAGAATGCGTGACTGCGTGTATGTGAGTGTGTGAGCGTGTCCATATGCGCGAGAAACAGCTCCCACGGCCCCTTCCTCCTCCTTATCTCCTCTCTTTGAAATCCCTCACAAGTCAACTGCCCTCTCAGCGGCGTGTTTTCCACTGTCGGAAGCAAGGGGGAGCCCTTGTCTTTTCCCCACAATTGTTTTGGTGGAAAGTGTTTGCGCCAACAGTGTCACTATCTTGTGACCCTGGGCCAGTCTCTTTCTCTCCATGGTTTTCCATATCTTCATCCGAAAGGACTGGGTTAGTTCCTTTAAGATCCTCTTCACCTCCAACTCTCAGTGAGCGGTTCCTCTTTCCTGAGAAACCACTGCGCAGAACCAGCGAGCGAGAACTCACCGAAGCGGAAAGAGCAGGTGGGGCAGGCAAGGGAGAGAGCCCAGGAGAACTGCGGGCGAGCGGGCGGGGCGGGGCCGGGGGCGGGGCCATACCCGGGGGCGGGGTCGAGGCCGGGCGGGGCCAGGGGCGAAGAGGAGCCTGGTGGGCCGGGGCCGGGGACGAGGCCAGGGGCGGACGCGCGCCCAGGCCCCATGCAGGCCCAGCTGCGGGAGGGGCCCGGCTGACTCCGCCCCGGGCCAGGAAGTGACTCAAAAAACTATTCGAGATGCAGAGAAGAGAGGTCCCCGTTGGGTGAGGAATCCGGGAAGGCCCGCCCAAGATTCGGGCCCCCCGCCCTTCTCCCCTGGGCCGGGGGCGCGGGCGAAGCTGGGGCCGGCGGGCACCGAGAGGCGCCGGAGGGACTGAGGCGGCACGGGCGGCCGAGGCGGGTAGGCGCCCCGTCCCCTG